TTTTTTTCTCTCTCTCTCTCACTGTAGATATTTTGAGCCTATCAGGCTTCCTTAGAAAAAGCCAAACCCTACGTCTTCCTTCCTTGAGATGTTTTTCCAACTCAAAGTATTGGCTGGGTACCACCTTGTTCCATTCAGAGATCCTAACAATGGTGTGACAACCATACTTTTGACTGGTCCTTACCAATAGGCATAGTTTTCAGCATCATTTATTGCTCAAAGGTCTTCTCAGTTTTTTCTTTACTAGTTGAAGATGTGAATCAGTTATTCCTTCCAACTGTGCAAATCCCTGAGTTCTGAGACTCTCTCTGAATTCTTTTATATTCCTGCTTGCAAACCAGCCAAATATTTTCTGAGCTCCTCTATCTCTTCTAGTACTTTGGCAAATGTGGCCTATAGTAATAAACTCATTCTAAGAGCATTCATTTTCTACCTCTTTGCATACAGTACAAACTTATTAAGTATATAATATGCCCTTTAATCTATTCCAGGCTATAGTTTTACAACTTTTTCCCACTGCATCACATGGATTGCCATCTTTTCAGGTCTTCCACAACAATTTCATGCTGTCAGACTAGAATGCCACATAATATAGAATGTGTTGCTGTTGTTACGGCAACATCCTACTCCTGGAACCAATTTCTGTATCTACCAAACATTCAAGGAAGAAATTACAGTTACACACAATCTTCTGGAGAACAGAAAAAGTGGGAATGATTCCCAAGTTCTTTTATGAAGTTGGTATAACCTTTATATAATCTTAACACCAAAACCCAAGGACTTTACAAGAAAGAAGTATTACAAGCATATTACCATAAATATAGATGCATAAATCCTACCAAAAATTAGAACACCAAACTCAGTAGTATATAAAAAAGATCATATATCACCAGCACGTTGGATTTATGTAAATTTTGTTTGACATTACAAAATCAATGTACTTCTCATTATGAACAAAAGAAAAAAAGAGAGAAGATTATATGATAATCTCAGTATATAAAAAAAGTTTTCTTTTTGTTTGTTTGGAAAGGGTCTTGCTCTGTTGCCCAGGCTGGAGTGCAGTAGCTTGATCTTAGCTCATTGCGGCCTTAACCTCCCAGACTCATGCAAGCCTCCCACCTCAGCCTCAGCTGGGACCACAGGCATGTACCACCATGCCTTGGCCTCCCAAAGTGCTGGGATTACAGGTATGAGCCCCCCAGCTGGCCCAAAAAGTGTTTCTGATAAACCTCAATACCCGTTCATGACAAAAAGATCTCAGCAAACCAGGACTAGAAGGGAATTTCCTAATCTGAATACGGGCAAATACAATAACCTATAGCAGACATGACACTAATGGTAAAATGATAAAACTTTCTCTCTGTTCACTGCCACTGTCTTTATTTAACATTATTCTGGAGGGTCTTTCCAATGTGATAAACCAATAAAATAAAATAAAATAAAATGTTTAATCATTTAAAAGGAAAAAATAGGCCAGGCGCGGTGGCTCACGCCTGTAATCCCAGCACTTTGGGAGGCCAAGGCAGTGGATCACTTGAGGCCAGGAGTTTGAGACCAGCCTGGCCAACATAGCAAAACACCATCTCTACTAAAAATACAAAAAGTAGCTGGGCGTGGTGGTGCATGCCTGTAGTCCAGCTACTCGGGAGGCTGAGGCAGGAGAATTGCTTTAACCTGGGAGGCAGAGGTTGCAGTGAATTGAGATTGCACCACTGCACTCCAGCCTGTGTGATGAGGTGAGACACTGTCTCAAAAAAAAAAAAAAAGAAAAAAAAGAAAGGAAAAAATTAAATTGTCGTTATGTATTACAAACATAATTATTCATAATTATATGTAGAAAATATTAAAGAATCTACAGATAAATTCACAAGCTTGGCAAGGTTGCTGCACACTAGGCTTACATATAGAAATCAATTGTTTTTCTGTATGCTAACAACATTTAATAAGCAACAACATATCATTTATAACAGCATTTAAAAATCCAATATAGGCAGAGGCAGGAGGATTGCTTGAGTCTGAGTGTTTGAGACTAGCCTGTGCAACATAGCAAGACCATGTGTCTACACAATTTTTTAAAGAAAATTAGCCAGGAATGGTGGTGCATGCCTGTAGTCCCACCTACTCTGGAGGCTAAGATGGGAGGATCGCTTGAGTCCTGGGAGGTTGAAGTTTTACTGAGCTGTTATCTTATCCCTGCACTCCAGCCTGGGCAACTGAATGAGACCCTGTCTCCAAAACAAAAACAAAAACAAAATCCAATATAAATCAAGGTGGGACAAGTATTCCACATAGAATACTAAAAATTTTATCCAGACAAAATTTTTCAAGACCTAAAGAAGAGTATACATCAGTGAAGATATTGATTCTTCTAAATTAATCTATTACTCAATACAGTCTCATGAAAACCCAGCAAGTATGGGGGCTGTGTGTGTGACAAACTGATTATAAAATGTGTATGAAAATGCAAAGGGTCAAGACTAGCAAAGACAACTTTAAAAAG